GCATAAACACATTTCATTACACCAAATACACAAAATAATGTTCTTTTTAGCAACAACATATGACCCCTTTAACATATAATGTTAAAATGCGTTTAATATCTGTTACCTTCTAATTTAAATACGTTGGTCAACAATTTACGCAATTGTATTTGTATTTGAAAGAATTAAAAGAGCAGTTCATGTCTATCCTTGTTTGTTAACTAAGGCTGATATGAGGTTTCAAAAACTAATTAGTAATAAGTAATGCAATACCTTTTAGAGAAAGTAATTACAGTAATCTAATTAAACTGCTGAAGATGTAATAATTAATGACTTTTTTTTAGAGTAACTTATACCCAACACTACCATAAACATAACTGACCATTTTTTTTTATTGTAACGTTTACAGTATGTGGGACAAATTTTACCTTTCCATTGTTTTTGTGATTTTAGGTACATGTATTGCACTTTTATTGTGTTGTAGCATGGTACACTTTGAACAATTGTTTTTTGAAGTTGTAAATATAACAAAGATTATATTTTACACTATAATATATTGTATTATAAAATACAATAAATGTTTATATTTTACAAAAAAAAAAGATATTCCATGCTTTATACATCAAAATTTCACATTTAATTCAATGTTAGGCTGCTTCACATTTCTTTGCAATTATTTGTGAAATTTACTAGCAATTTCTGAGTGAAAATTGTTTCACCACCATTTTTTTAGTTCATTTATCATTTACATTGTAGCGTACAGTGTAAATGATAAATGAAGTAAACAAAAATACTGGTGAAAAAATTCATTCAGAAATTGCTAGTAAATTTCGCAAAGACGTGAATACCATGGTATTTGTATTTTTTAAGTGTGTGTAATCATTTAGTGTGGCATATATCAAACTATTACCATCTGATAGTACAGCTATTAATTTATTTTACATATTTTTGTCACATATTTTGTAAACTTCGCTTACAAAACGACATGATATTATTGCGATTTTGTGTCATTTTGTATAATTTCATACAGTTTTTCATGATTCAGTCTTAAAAATATTGTAGCATCGGTCGTGTTATTGGTTGAGGGATTGTGAATGAATGAGGTGTAACGCCATCATTTATCACTGCATGAGCTGAGTGATCTGTTTCTCTCGTCTCTTTATCCGCGACCTCTTTACAAACAATGACCCTGTGTCCATCCGACCCCCCTCCCAATCAAACGCAGTTTTGTTGTTTTTACTCACAGCTGGAGCATCTTTCTCTCTCTCTCTCGCTTTCTCTCGCTCTCCTTTTTCCTCTGTTTGACCTGAACAACACGTCTGTTCTTCCCACGACACACTGTGTGGATTGTTTGGGAGGACGCAGGCGAGAAAAAGAGAGCTTGAGGCTGCAGAGACAAAGAAACATCTGGCTGTGTTAATGCACTTCGTCTAAATGTGAGCGTAGCTGTGTGGCCGCACACATGTGACCATCCACAATGAATGTGTGTGTGTGTGTGTGTGTGTGTGTGTGAAGTTACAGCATGTCTTACTCCAGCTGTATATGGCTATTGTTGACTAAAGTCATTGAGACCATGTCATTCAATAAAGCTAATCTATAACCAAACGATGACAGACACTGTGGTTTGTAGCAATTTAGACCTTGCCCTGTGCTTTTTTACTGCTAAAATAAGTTGTTAGCAAAATAAGACCCCAACCCATTACCCTCTAAAACATTTTCAGATTATATTTCACAAAAAAAACTTTGAATTTCCTCTCTCTCTCTCTCTCTCAGCAGGTGTGTCTACATTCTGACTAATGTGTCTTATCAGCCATTCCAGTAAATTATGAAGTGTGTGTGTGTGTGTGTGTGTGTGTGTGTGTGTGTGTTTGTGTTACATACATACAGTAAATGTGCATGTTTTTATTTGTGTGTGTGTGATTACTGGTTGCAGATATTTCCATATGTACATGATTAAGAATTTTATGTTTAGTTGCATGTATCAAACAATGCAAATCTGAGAATGAATTTATGAACATTTTCAATTTAATCGAAAAAAACAACAACAAAAAAACAGTCACAGGATAATTTGTACGGATTAGCCTTTTAAATTAATTTTAAAACTAAAAGTTTTTGTCATGCCAATATTCAAAGTCTGTCTTCACAAACTTTGTTTTTCTAGTTAGAAATTACAGAAAAAACTATTTACTTTTAATTTCAGTTCATATTCATTTTATATCCTCACACTGAAATTTGATTTGCAATTCTGCATCCTGTTTGCTACCTCAATTAATCTTCATAATAATTGATTTATAATTTACTTTATACCATATGAGCCTGATTAACTGGCATATTCATATGCACATAAGGTATTAGATCACTTATATTGATTAAAAACATTCTCCAACCTGGAGCCATGCAGTGCCTTTTGAAATCATTTAAAAAATACAAATAAACAAAACTGTGGAAAATTGGAACATGACATTCATTTTTAGAATAATTTTTATTTTTTTTAATTTTCTATTTGGCAGTGTAACATTAATAAATCTAAAGAGTACAAAGGAGAAACTTTTACTGTTACTGAGCCAATTTAATCCCAACAAACGTATACACCAAAATCCAAAATGTTTGATGATTTTGATTTCAAAACTTTCTCAAATTTCTTACACTTTCATAGCTTTGATTCTTGTTATATTTAAATATTGTTATTCTGTATAATATAGAATGAATGTATTTTGTGTTAAACGTCTATTTAAATATTGTATTGCATTCTGGTCACTCCCGTTCACTAGGGGGCGCGAGAGTCCTTCGACCGGCCGAACCGGGCAGTGTTGCCAAGTCCGCGGTTTTCCCGCGGAATTGGGCTTGTTTTGTTATAGTTTGGAAAGAAGCCATGAGAGAATGGCAACGTCAGTGGGCCAGGGAAGCTAAAGGAAGACATTTGTATGCCATTCAAAATAAAGTTGGTACAGAGAGGAATAGGGGAGGGACTAGGAGAGAAGAAATAGTGAAGGAAGAATTAAGAAGAGATGGGTTGGTATGGACAGGTATTAAAGATATACTGCACAGTGGGTTGATTAGACAAAGCAGGACAAATATTTGTAATTTCTTAATTAGAACGGGTTTGATGAGGAAAATATGATTGTGGAAAACAAGCTGGAGGAAATAAACTGGAATAACATCGCAGGATAATAATCCAGAAGATGGCGGTAATGCAACGCTCTTGGATGCAAGCCGCCGTTAAACCTCAAAGAAGAAGAAGAAGAAGGCTAGTTTTGTTGTGAAAACCTGGCAACCCTGAGGGACCGAATCAAGATGGCGATTGGACAGGCAGGTAACCCGCGTCGTTGCCATAGATACTAAAGTTATAATCGAAAATAAACGTAGCTTTAATGATAATATACTGAAATCTTTAGGTTTCTCTATTATATATTCAACGCTTTGAAATATTTAACCGTTATTTATGTGGTTTAATAGCGTTATTTGCCTTTAAACGTTCCTGTGCTGTATGGAAAAGCGGAATGTTATTTTTTAATACGAAACTCTATGAAAGAGCAAGATATATTATGTTATTTCATTCACTTCAAGCCATTGCGCAACATATTTCATTCATATGTCCGCAGTGGGCCTATTTGGATTCTTTTAGGTTGTTTTATTTAGGATGTCAAGTGTTATTCTGTTTTTTTTTTCTTGTAGGTAAAAACACCAATGTTGTATCGTTTGAATATTCACTAAATAACATAATCCCTGAAAAATGAACGGATGAATGGACGAAAAAGATGATTAGGACAAAGCATTATTTAATTTACAAGTAACAGGATTGGATAGAATTGACGTTACATGACGTTACATGACATGTGGCCAAGTATGGTGACCCATACTCGGAATTAGTGCTCTGCATTTAAGTGCCATCCTTAGTGCACACACACAGCAGTGAACACACACAAACCGTGAGCTGTACATTCACTCCCCCCACCTGCAATCCCTGCCGGTACGAGACTCGAACCCACAACCTTTGGGTTATGAGTCCAACTCGCTAACCATTAGGCCACGACTTCCCTCATCTATATCTATAGATAGATTTGTTAATTTGATTTTGCTGCTGGCAAAGTTTCACATTCACAGATCCAAATTTTCATCTTCCAGACCTCTCTTTATTGTTTTTTATAAAAGAATTTGAGCAATAACTCTCACAAACAAACAAAAAAACTTTAAAAACATGATCTGTTTGTAATTCTTTTCCTGTCTTTAATGGCATGTAATTCTCAAAATTATTTCCAGGTTGTAGTTTATTTAACACCCCCTTTCCTTTTATTTATGTCCATTTTTTCTTTTGTTGTCTTTGTTCATCATTATTTCTTAATGTAGGTATTTTGTTTAGTTGTCTTCATCATTATACTACCACGATCAAGGTCCAGAAATGTAGCAAGGAGATCGCAGCTGACACAAAACAGCATACGCAATTTACGTTCAGTGGATACTTTTCTTTTGCGCACAAAAAGTATTCTCGTAGCTTTGTAAAATTACGGTTGAACCCCTGATGTCACATGGATTATTTTACCGATCTCCTTGCTACGTTTCTGGACATTGATCGTGGTAGTACCATTGCTGTCTATGGAGGGTCAGAGAGCTCTCAGATTCCATCAAAAATATCTTAATTTGTGTTCCGAAGATGAACAAAGGTCTTACGGGTTTGGAACAACATGAGGGTGAGTAATTAATGACAGAATTTTCATTTTTGGGTGAACTATCCCTTTAATGTAGGTATATTGTTTTTGAGCATTATTAAAAAATATCTATCTATCTATCTATGGCCCATGAAAATTCTAACTTAAAAGCCTTTTCAAAACTTGAAAGTTTTTGTCAAGTCGGTATTCAAAGCCTGTTTTGGCTAATTTAGTTTTACTAGTTATATATAATTATTTATATATTACAGTTATATATTACAGAATTTCTTTTAATTTCAATTAATATTCATTCTTCCCTACATTCAAATTTAAATTGCATTTCTGCATCCTGTTTGTTAACTCAGATCTTAAAATCCATAATAAATAATTAAATTTACCATAATTATCCTAACATTTAATTACCATATTCATATATTCATAAGGTATTTATAAGATATTCCAAAGAATGCTTTTGCATGTTTTAAGCCTTAATTGACAGCAGCTCTCATCTGTGCTGCTCCAAATCCTGCTGTATCTCTCAGCAGCTTACAGTGTGTTTTACTTCCTGTCCACCCTCTCCACGATCATCTACAAAAGTAAGTCCTTCCTCTTAAGTCCTTAAAAACTGTTTTTGTAGTGTTTTTTGGGGTCATTAGAGGTATTTGGTTAGTCAGTCATCACTAGTACAATTGCTCATGCATGCATATGGTTAAGGATTTGAACTTTCAAATTTTTTATGCTATCTTTGTGACAGCTTATGTGTTGAGTTATCCTGACGGCCGACTCGCTTTAGACATGTGTCTACTGTTTCTTATGGCCAGTCTTGAGGTCCTGAGGGTGTACTAGGGTAAGTTTGGCAAGATCCTGTTTTTGTTTAGGCAATCCATGAGCAAAAAAACTTCCATTGGCCTCTCTTCCTCAGGGGTCAGGGGGAACCTACAGGAGAGCGAGAGCTACACAGCTTCAAATCTGATTGCAACAGGTGCCACAGTGCTGCTGGCGCTCTATTTCGTTATTTGGCAGTCATACGTGCTGCGAGCTGACGTCATTATCGGCTCCATCCTGATCTGCTTGTATGGTCTAACAGGAATTGTGGGGCTCGGGACGCTGGTGTGCTTCACCAGGTCAGAGTTCATATGCTTGTACACTCTATATTGGCACTGATGGTTCCATGAAGAACCTTTAACCTCCATGGAACCTTTCCATTCCACAAGAGGTTCACAAATGGTTCTTTTAAGAACTGTTCGCTGAAAGATTCTTTAAGGAAACAAAAAAGCTGCCTTGCTTTGTAAGGCTGCATCAAAAGTGAAATGCTTTACGCAGCAATTCCGAGCATCATCCAAACAGCATTTTTCCTGCAAAAACTCACGGGACAGTTGTTTTGCAATTGATTTCACTTGAGTTTGTTAGTAAATGTTGGTGAACTAACAACAGATAATAAGCATAAAAATATGTAACACATTTATTGAAATCCAATTTTGCTTGAGCACGTCACACTTTCTCACAAAATATGATGTGCAGTTTCAAAACTTTTGACATTCAATCGCTTTTTTTAATTTTAATAAGCTTTAAAGCTAATACACATACAGTAGTCAACATTTGAAGTGGATCAAAAAAGTTCATCAAAGTTGTTCTAAGACAAGAACGCATTTTGGTTCTAGGACAACTTTGATGAAAGATTTTGATCCACTTCAAATGTTGACTACTGTAAATAATTTGAAAAACTTCATATTTTGTGATTTTTTTTGTTGTAGTTTTATTCATATTTTTTAACTCCGCTTCATCAAATTAGGTAATATTGCACCTTTTTTGCAAATCAGAAGACATTTTTTTCAAGATGCAGGGCTGTGTTATAGCTATTATGTTAAATTATTTCCATTTCTAATACATGTTTATATTTCTATAACTTATTTATAATGATCGCATCAATCAACACTCCATCTCCCATAATGGCAAAGTAAAAACCAGATTTGTGATAACTTTGCAATTTTATACAAAATAACAGAACTGAAATAATCACATGACATAAGTATTCAAACCCTTTGCTATAACATTTGAAATTTAGCTCAGGTGCATCCTATTTCTCTGGACCATGTCAGAAATGTTTCTACACTTTGACTGGTGTAAATCTGTGGCAAATTCAAGTCAACAGGAGAAACTACTGAAATATTTTTGTAAGATTTTTCCACCAGAAACCCTCCACTGGAACTGAAGTAATTCAGTTGAGCTTGATTAAAGCACACTAGCTTGGAGATGCCACATTGTGTTCACGCTGCTCAGATAACACTAACTGACTGGTGGGTCAACAAAAGTTGTGCGTCCTGGAATCATTTCCTTTCATTGAAATGCACATTAATATTGCAGCACAGACATGGAGAGCATAATTATTCTACCTTGTAAGATACCCCGTTCTCACCAAATTCTGAGATATACGCATATCTTTCTCATATTACTGCATTGTAACTAAGTAAAATTTTGACTATTAAATGCATTTTGTACTTACATTAAAAAGCATTAATAAAATACTTGTCTAATTCAATAGTGTCTGTTTTACACAATATTTAATGTGAAATATTTTAATATTTGTACTTGTAGAGCATCATGTGTTTATCTTAGCAACATGCTAACGGCAAAGTCTATGTTCATGGCTTGGCTATCAGCACAATGCAGCTGCCGTAACCCAGACTGTAACGTCACTGTCAGAACAAAAGATTCGTAAAATGAGCGTGGGGACAAAGCAAGAGATGCAGTTAATCTGTCGGCCCATGCCGAGCCGCAGTTACAGTGATCGGCTTCCTGAATGAACCACACTTTAATAATGCAAGCTTTAGACTGGCCTTCAGAAACTAAGTCGATTTTCATTCATGGGAAAAACACGGGAAACAAAAGAGACGGACAATTAGTAACATTAGGCTCTTAAAAGTCAGATGGTGTATTCTCACATCTGTACCCTGTAGTTTCTGAAGAAATCCCAACTGTGTCTCAAACTGCTTAAATTTGCCAAGACACCAAAGTATACGCAGAAGTCAATCTAGTTTTATTTTAGGAGAAACATCTGAGACACATTTGGTACTGAAGTGAAACATAACCATGAAGTCTCATAATCATTATGTCTTGTGCTTACTTTAGCCTGGTTTCTCATGGCAACACTATTTAGTTTTATTGCTATGCAATCAACTACTGTTTGCTTATCTATAAATCAAAGTTTGATTACAATTCGTAATCTGCCATATATAATAGTATTTTCATAAATAATACTTGACAACTGTTGTTTGTAAACATTTCGCTAATGCAGAATTATCAACTTTTTCTAGATCACTTACCTGTATAAGACTGGGATCTGCAGGTCATGTGTACATCATTTAAAAATGTTGTCAATATATATATATATTGACAAAAGTGCACTTTGAAGTGCACTTTTAATGTGTATGATCCCTGTTTCTTTAATAACAAATACTTTTAAGTGAACACTTTTGAAACTCATTTTTAATCATTTGTTCAAATTAAGAATGCATTACATTTGTGTTCTGTTGCAGGAATCTCTGAGGCAAGGAGCTCTGGGACCGAGCTAACATTGCAAGGAGTTTGGAGACCATGGTGCCCATTACAGGACCCTCTTTGGCAGCTGTAACATAAACTTCTGTTACGTGGAGGGGGCACTAACTGGCACTTCTGGGACCAGGAGGCCATGACAGATGAAGGGAGCTTGATGGGAGCTTTTGAACTGAGATGCTTTGGTTTCTGGCTGTGGCTGAACCTTATCACAGGAACTTCTGAAGAAGTAATGACGGGAATATCTGGAACCAGGTGGCCATGACAGATACCTCTGGGCCTATATGGGGATCACTGGGAGCTTGGAGCCCAGGGTGGCTGTGCACTAAGACGGCTTTTGGAGCTGGCTCTGGCCTTTACAGGAACCTCTGAGGAGGCAACGACACCGTTGGGGTGCCTATGACAGGTGTGGAGCAGCCATAGCAGGAACCTCTTTAGTAGCTGTGGCTTGCATGGTGGCAGAGAATGCAAGTGAGCCCACTGCCACATGATTTGCCGCACTGTTTCTTCATTGAGGCTTCTACCGTTACGCCTCATGAACTCACAGGGAGAGGGACATTCGAGGACCATGACGAAGTGGTAAGGGTGGTTCTGCCAGTCCAGCAACCTGATGATTTCTGGCACGCTGGGACCTTTATTCGCCAGGATGGTGAGGGCGATTTCTTTTGGAAGGGGGACTGCATGATCAGGCTAGAAGACATATCGTTTTTACGAAGGTTAGATGAAGGTGGTTTCCCAAATAGGGATTTGTTTTGGGAAATGTTTTATATTGTTTATATAGTGCAATGTACTTACAAAGAATATACATTCTGTGTGCTGTGTCTTCGTGACATATTTCAAAGCCACCTGATGAACAAAAATAGAACTTAAGAAACACTAAGAGGGCTTAGAGTAAAGGATGAGACAGGACAAACATTTGATGGCTTGATAATGCATTGTTTATATGAACTTACTTTAAGATCATCCTCCAGACGTCTCCCTTCATACACCACGCCAAATCCACCTTTCCCCAGCTGATCACCAATGGTGTAGTGGCCGAAGATGTAGTCTATTAAAAGAAAAAATAACATTAAAATATTACGAAGAGTGTCTTGCGATGTGTCAGGCAGTAATTATAATTTTTTCATGTAATTATACATTTTAATGACTGAATATTTATAGTTTCAACATAGATTAGTACATGTAGACCTATAACAGTAATGTTTTTAACATGTCATTGAGTAAAGATCTAATCAGGGCCTCAACATGAATTTTGGTATAGTATGTGCTGATGTGTATTTCTGATATTGTGTTTGATGGTGTTGATGGTATTAGTTTTTTCATGAGTAGAGCTATATTAAAATAAAACTTATTTTCATATTATGGTTGTGTCATGTACCATCACTACTTCTTCCTGCCCATGCCACCTTCCTCTTCGCTGTTTGTTGGCAGCTCTGAAGAAAGAGCGTGGCCACCACTTCTTGCTGTTTTCTCCTTCACTCTCCCTGCCTTCTTCCTCTCCTCCTCCAGCACAAACAGAGGTCTCATCGCGGGGATGAGGTTGTTGAACCGCCGTGTTGGTGCTGGGTTTTGGGGGTGTACTAGGATGTTGATCGTACACCTCGCCAACCGTCATCGGACTCACTTTAGTCCCATCGCTGTGAAATCTCACTGACCAACAAACCCACAATCCTCGCTTTATAAAGCCCGCGAGTTCTATTCAAACGCGCTCAATGGCGTCATAAAGCTTTGAACGTCAAAATGTTCCGTTATTTTTTATATAGGCTGCTACAGTATCCACCTTTTTCTTGCGTAAAAATGGGCGCGGCCATTTGTAAATTCTATGGATCTAGCTTCCGGTCTCATCTGCGTCCAGCTATTTTTAGCTGTACAAAACAGTTCGTTTTGCTGCTTGTTATTGAAAATTGGTGTGCCTTACCATATTGTTTTAATGTATTATCTTAATTATGAACACACTGGTTTGTAGTATTCTTGTCGTTATTTACCTATAGCGGCCGGTTAATGATCCGGAAGTCTCGCCCATAGGCTTACTTCCGCGTTGAAGAAAAAGGTGGATAGACCCATAGACATATAAACACCTAGACGCCTCATTGGCCGCTTTGAGCCGTTGCTGCGATACGTCAACGCGTCCGCCATGTTTGCGAGGGCAAGACTGCCTTAAAAATAAATGGAGGTAAACGGAGGAGCTGCGGTTTTTTCTGGATAAAAACACGATAACGTTGTCTTGTCAAAGTGCTCACTGTACATATTGTGCTCATAACACAATGTACTTTATGATATAAACTACAATATAAAAGTTAAAACTTAAGAATTAATTTAAACTTTGATTTCATATAAAGTCTCAGCTTTCACAGCTTACTAGATATATCGCTAGCTATTAATAGTCTGACACTGGTGGCTAATTAAGCTGTTAACATAAAGCTAAAAATGACCAAAACACATACAAAAACAACTGTTCAGTCTTACCTGTGGAAGATAATACCCTGAGGTCTGTTTGTATTATTGTGTGACGGTTTGTAGATGCCCAAGCTGCCGACGAGTCAGGTATGTTTTCTTCTGTCCCGATATGACAGTTGCCCGCACCAATATGGCGGCGACGTTGACGTGCGGTCGAGCGGCCAATGAGGCGTCTAGGTATTTATTATGTCTATGGATAGACCAATTTGGAGTAGACGTCACAGTTACATCACTGGCAGCTGCGCGCGCATAGTGGTGGCAGAAAAACACTGGTAACAAGTGGAGGGAAACGGGTAAAATCCATGGAATAAGAGAAAAAATGTATTGTTGTGCCTTCGGATGTCAGAATCGAAATGCAAATAATTGTTATATAACACTCTCGTCAAAGACGCCATTTGAAGCTAACCGCAGACGTTTAAACGACAGACTATGGATGAAACCTGCAATGATTATCCTACTTTTAAAGCATAAATTTGATTTAAACAATAGGTCTATATACTATTCATATAGGGGACATATTGTATTAGCCCTACAGTTGAAATACATGCATGAAATACTATTTAAACCTATAACATTTTATATAACATTTAACTATTTTATTTCCAAATTCTGACTTTTTTTCTTGCAAATTCAAGTGTATATCTCATAGTTCGGACTTTATAACTTGATTAAACTCAACAATTGCAAGTTTGTCAATTCTGAGGAAAAAAAGCCAGAAGTGTGGGATTATAAACTAAAAAGAAAGAATGACGAGAGATTTTTCTTACCAGAATTGTGAGACTATAATCTCGGAATTGCAAGAAAAAACAGTCAGAATTTTGAAATATAAACTCAAAATTATTTTTTGTATTCTTTTATTCCATGGCTTGAATAGACTGCTACGTTAAAGCTGTCATTTTCTGCCACCAGATAGGCTCCGCCCACAAAAAAACCTCATCACTGTTTGCAAACACTGAAATTGAAAAGAAAGAAAAAAACACTACAAGAACAAAATCCGTCAGAATATAGTGATAAAGCAAATAATAATAATATGTATAATAAATTAATAAAATGCTGTATCCTATCCAAATGTTTTAACAACATTTTTTTTAAATATACAACATGTAAAACATATTTTAAACAAAAACATATTAAAATGTTTTTCTGCTTATGAAACCTCATATTATTAACTGGTTTAAAATGAAAATTGTGTGTGTGTGTTTGTGTTAATATATATAAGACTAATGACTTTTACTAAGAACTTTTTGTAGCCTCATTAAGCACGTTGTTAGTTTGTCCAGTAGAGGGCGTTTATTTAACATGTAATATGTTGAGAATCAGATTTGATTTAATCGTGTGCAGTCTGTGGTTTTACTGTGCGAGGCTTATTGGTGTGTATCTCTTCTCTAGCATATGAAATTATGCTTTTTACTGTGTGAAATCACTGATGTGCCCTACAGTCAACTCTGTTTGGGAACTGTACATTCAAATGTACAGTATACACTGCTCCGGGTGTGTGTTCACGGTGTGTGTGTGTGTGTACACTGCTGTGTGTGTGCACTAAGGATGGGTTAAATGCAGAGCACTAATTCCTAGTATGGGTCACCATACTTGGCCACATGTCACGTCACTTAAATCCACATGCAAATTGCTCTTTGCTATCCTAATGCCCAGTTTCACCAAACCTCAAACAAATTTGCCAGTCATTCTTTTGTGCAGTTTTATGAGTAATGTTTAACAGAACTTGCTTCTTTCAGCAGTCAATGTAAACCTGAGAAAGTGAGCATTTCATGTGCCATAGTTCTGTCCTCTGATGTTAATTATAAACCAAAACTCAAGGTTTCTAAAGTCAAACACTCCACTGGTCTGTGTGCATGTACTGCAGTTCACCAACCTGTGGACTTTTTAATGTGTGTGTGTGTGTGTGTGTGATTTTCTGTCTGATGTCATGTGTATTTTCATCTTAAAGGAATAGTTCACCCAAAAATGAAAATGTGCCCTCAGGCCTTCCTAGATGAGTTTGTTTCTTCATCAGAACAGATATGGAGAAATGTATTACATGCATTACATCACTTGCTCACCAATGGATCCTCTGCAATGAATGGGTCAGAATGAACGTCCAAACAGCTGCAGCGTTTTGCTTTACAAAATGTTAACTGATGGACTGGAGTGGTGTGGATTACTTGTGGATTACTGTAATGTTTTTATCAACTGTTTTGGACTCTCATTCTGACGGCACCCATTCACTGCAGAGCATCCACTGGTGAGCAAGAAATGTGATGCTTAATTTTTCCAAATCTACATATGGTGAGTAAATTTTCCAGCAAATGTTCATTTTTTGGGTGAAATATTCCTTAAGGAATTTTTCATAAAAATGTTAAATTTTATTATAATCCACTCACCTTCATGTCTCTTTCTTTCATGTAGAACAAAAAGGAGCAGAATGTGCAGACAGTGACCACAGCTGTCAAGTAGACCAGAGTTTATTGAATAACAACTTTGGTCTGTTTGTAAACAGATGACTTGGAATATAGAACATGAGATGCATAGACTATGTTTATGATGCTTTTATGATGCTATTTGTGTTATTTTTGGAGCTTGACAATCTCTGGTCCCCATCCACTTTCATTTTGTACAGAATAAAGAAAGCTATTCGAGTTTGGAACGATGTGAGGGTGAGTAAACGGTTACATTTTTATTCTTAAATAACCAGGTAAAAAACCCATCCATCCTGATTTTAGACTGATCAGGAAGAGTAAAGTGTGTTTGCAGGCCGGAGTCATGCTCCATATCTAGTGACATACAAACCTGACCAATGTTCCACCCTGTTGCTCTTCTTTCACTCTTTCGTTCTTTGAAGATGCTTCTCCTTGTTCGTACAGGGTTACAGAACTGGATCAGGAACAGGAATTTGCTTACGTCCCTAAACAAACGTCACAATACGGCATACATGTTCTGATATAAATGCAGAGGTTATATCGATTTAAGCCAGGCATGCCCCTTTAAACCCATTTTCTGCTTTGCCAGTATATGGTGCATAAAGGTTGGCAATAAAATGGTTGATAATGAAGGGAGGACTTTCAATAAACCAATAAACCAAATGTTATCTTGCTCCAGGTAGTCAATTTTTAAGGTAGAAATTTTTCTGGTATAGTGCACCAGGTGGAGGATACATGTTTTAGCTCTGGAGAAAAGCAACAAAAATCTGATTTATATTTGTTAGTGAAGATTTACATTTAAATGATTTGCATTCATATGCAGTAAATTACTTGTATGTTGAGGAAATGCATAAATGCATTGTGTGAAAGTGAAATTGATATAAAAATAGATACAGGTGCAGCACCTTTAAAGAATATTTGAATTATTCAATGTTTTTTTTAATGCAATATTAAGTATTATTTACATTTTACTTAATGTTACATAGGTCTGTGCATTTATTTATTTATTGTTTTACATTTTTAGTATATCTGTAAATAATGGATAGTCATTCGGTCTCAACGTAAAATTTAAATAAATTGCTTAAATGCATTGTGTGACATTGAAATGCAATTATTCAATGTTAGTTTAATTCAGTTTTGAGTATTATCAATAATACATTATATTCAATATTAAATATTTGTTATTCCGTGTTTAATATTTTCTACCTTTTTACTTAATGTTTACTTTTACTTAATAATATGCTGTTTTGTTTATGTATTTTGACTTTTATTTTGTACTCTAATAGCAGTAAATAATGCAATAAATATCCTCCAGTAGTTATCCAAAAAGCATATTTTTTTGGAGGAGAAGTGAGTGAATTTTATTTAAACATTCCTTTCATAATGTGTACAAAAGAATAAGAAGTTATTAAAAGTTATTCATGTCTTTTTTTTTTTTAAATCTACGGGGCGAA